CCTAGATCCTAACCCTAACCCTGGAGACTGTTATCTCCCTCACTAACTTTAAGCATCAGTTGTCAGAGCAGCTTACCGATCACTGCACCTGTACACAGCCCATCTGTAATTAGCCCACCCAACTACCTCATCCCTATATTGTTATTTACATTGTTATTTATTTTGCTAATTTGCACCCCAGTATCTCTATTTGCACATCATCTTCTGCACATCTATCACTCCAGTGTTAATACTAAATTGTAATTATTTTGCACTATGGCCTATTTATTGCCTTACCTCCATAACTTACTACATTTGCACACACTGTATATATATTTTTTATTGTGTTATTGACTGTACGTTTTGTTTATTCCATATGTAACTCTGTGTTGTTGTTGTTTTTATCGCACTGCTTTGCTTTATCTTGGCCAGGTCGCAGTTGTAAATGAGAACTTGTTCTCAACTGGCTTACCTGGTTAAATAAAGGTGAAATAAAAAATTAAAAAATAAAGTAGTGAGACAGACAATGATGAGGCAGGCTGCAATGCATGACGCAAAGGAGACACACAGCGAGAGGAAGCAAGCAGAGAGAGAGGTTAGTAGTACAGTGTTTTAAATGGGGTCCCCTGAGAGAATCTGTAATCTTATCAAACACATTCATAACTTGTTTCTCTTCAAATGGGTATAGAATACAACATGTTAGAGTCAACTAAGGGCCTTCTTCACTGGTGTACTTTAGCAGTTTTCAACACAGACAACTGAATTGCAGTGCAGCTCACAAGAGATACTAAGAACATGAACATAATTAATAAGATAACATATTTCAATTTAAACATCTCCAGATCCTATTTTTTTTTTTACTTTTCTAGTGTCCAGTCCAAATTCACTATTTTGGGAGAGATGACCTGATGTGCATTTTGTGTAATTTTTAACTATAGAAAAGTACACTAGGCATTCCCTATAGACCTGCATGAAAATGCAATCAAATGCAATCAAACAATACAGTTCTAATCTCGATCGCCCACTGATGTTTATAGTTTATACATTTTATTGTATTTCTTTACTACATCACTGATTATCATGGGTTTCAACCTGTGCCACTTTCTGCTACTTGAATGCCAAACAGGAGGCTATCTACAATGTATTGCATTCTGCCGTGCCAGGGAAGACATAAATAAGAAGATAAGAGCTACAGGTAGGCCTACAGTGTGTTTTTTTGGCAGTCATTTCAGGTTTGTTCAAATCCCAGTCTTAGTTTGTGAAAACAATTCACAGGAACTCGCACTGCTCATCAGGCAGTAGATAGAAAATAACAAACCATCACCAGCCATCAGACAAGCACGTCTGTGGAGAGAAAAGCCTGCCACTTCTGGCTAAGCAAACAACAGGCACTGGCAACAAGGAGGTGTGCCCACTGCAACAAACAGTACTATTACAATAGGCTTTTCTGTCAGGACTCAGAAGGGCAACTCATTGCAAGGTTCTTGAGTCATGTCACTCTATGACTGTACATTTTTCTGTCAGTAAAAATGACATACATTTAGAAAATCAAAAGACAATTTGCAGACAACCCTAACACTATTTATTGTGCCTCTGTTTAACTGCAGTAGGATCCATTTAGCCTACAGAGTAAAGCCAACAAGCCAGTATACCTATTAACTTATATTCATTTCTGAAAATGATATATGTTGAATTTCCCCCAAACTCATCTACTTTTTACATTTAGCAGACACTCTTATCCAGAGCGACTTACAGTTAGTGAATACATACATGTTCTTTTTTTTTTTCATACTGGCCACCCGTGGGAAACAAACCCACATCCCTGCCGGCCAAACCCTCCCCTACCTTGGACGACGCTGGACCAATTGCGACAGAGCCTGGACTCGATCCAGGATCTCTAGTGGCACAGCTAGCACTGCGATGCAGTGCCTTAGACCACTGCGCCACTCGACTACTTCTATAGTCTCCGCAAACTCTCTTTTTAGCCAATGCATCCCATTTGAAATTCATTTTCTATGGACCCTATGTGGTGGTGTATATCTGTTTCTTGGCTGTGAAAAACGTCACCGGTTTACCTGTATCACTCAAACACCTCTGGCTTATCTAAACCGCCTTTGCCTTGCGTGCCTCGCGCACTTTAATCAGCAGTAGCCACGCTCAGTAACTCGCTAAACCTCTTATGCCCTTCCCTCAAGATTAGCGGTTGGGAACGACGACAGATGCGCTCCGTAGCAATAAAAAAACACACACGGCACACCTGTGTTGAACAGATTCGACGACGGTGAGCCAGTGAAGCACTCAAAGCTGCCACACTGGCACAGACACCACGCCTGTGACGCCTCACAGCCTGCATGGCATGATGTCGTTAGCTCAGCCAAACGGGCACCACATGGCAAACACAGCCCGGTGCAACAGCTAGGTGAGGGACTGCAGCAATGGACAGAAGAGCCATGATAATTAGATAAATCTAGCAAGGGGAGCATGACTAGTCACCCATTCATATTACTTATTAACCTTGTCTAGAATTGTCCCATTCATTCTGGGCTTCATGTAGTAATTTGAGCCAGTGTTGATGTCAATGCCGTGTTAGCATCTGTGAGTAATGACAAATTAATTTATATTCAACAGTGTTGTAGTCTATCTAGTCATTTCCATTTTGCAGTACTTGGTGGTAGTTTAACTAAATTCAAATCTAGGTAGTGTATTTACAACTGTGACAATGATAAATATACTGTAAATGTCCATTGGGGTGTGGGCAGGGTAATTGTCCGTTGGAGGAGGGATAGTCAACCGGCAGAACAAAAAAGGTGAGGTATAGTGGTCAAAATGTATTTAAGGTTAGGGTTAAGGTTAAGGTTAGGCATAGCTTCAGTGCAGTTATAGGGTTAGCCTTAGGGAAAGGAATAAAAGTTACAATTGGTTAGTGTACCGCCATTTGCCGCCATTTATTTTCTGCCAGTCCATGACAGGCTGTTAGACATATGGGAATATATGGTATGAAACTATCAGCACTCGCCCAAGCATTGAGCATTCAAGACCAATATTCGGAATAAGTTATTTCACAAAAGGCAGATCAGAATGGATTATTGTGTATATTGATTGCACACACCCTCTAGACCAGTGGTTCCCAAACTGTGGGGCGCGAGGGGTCGGCAGGGGGGGGGCACGGGTGTGACAGTTCCTTAAAAAAGTATATAACACTGAACAAACATATAAACGCAACATGTAAAGTGTTGGTTCCATGTTTCATGAGCTGAAATAAAAGATCCCAGAAATGTTCCATGTGCTTATTTCTCACAAATTTTGTGCACAAATTTGTTTACATCCCTGTTAGTGAGCATTTTTCATTTGCCAAGAAAATCCACCCACCTGACAGGTGTGGCATATCAAAAAGCTGATTAAACAGCATGATCATTACACAGGTGCACCTTGTGCTGGGGACAATAAAAAGCCACTCTAAAATGTGCAGTTTTGTCACACAACAAAATGCCACAGATGTCTAACATTTTGAGGGAGCGTACAATTGGCATGCTGACTGCAAGAATGTCCACCAAAGCTGTTGCCAGAGAATTTAATGTTAATTTCTCTACCATAAGCTGCCTCAAACGTCGTTTTAGAGAACTTGGCAGTACATCCAACCGGTCTCACAACCGCAGACCACGTGTAATCACTCCTGCCACCCAGACAGCTGATGAAACTGTGAGTTTGCACAACCAAATTATTTCTGCACAAACTGTCAGAAACCATCTCAGGGAAGCTCATCTGCACGGTCGTCGTCCTCACCAGGTTCTTGACTTGACTGCAATTCAGCGTCGTAACCGACTTCAGTGGGCAAATGCTCACCTTCGATGGCCACTGGCACGCTGGAGAAGTGTGCTCTTCACGGATGAATCCCGGTTTCAACTGTACCGGGCAGATGGCAGACAGCATGTATGGCATCGGTGGGCGAGCGGTTTGCTGATGTCAATGTTGTGAACAGAGTGCCCGATGGTGGTGGTGGGGTTATGGTATGGGCAGGCATAAGCTACGGACAACGACAATAATAGCATTTTATCTATGGCAATTTGAATGCACAGAGATACAGTGACGAGATCCTGAAGCCCATTGTCGTGCCAATCATCCACCGCTATCACCTCATGTTTTAGCATGAAAATGCACGGCCCCATGTCGCAAGGATCTGTACACAATTCCTGGAAGCTGAAAACGTCCCAGTTCTTGCATGGCCTGCATACTCACCAGACATGTCACCCATTGAGCATGTTTGGGATGCTCTGGATCAATGTGTACGACAGCGTGTTCCAGTTCACACCAATATCCAGCAACATTCCACAAGCCACAATCAACAGCCTGATCAACTCTATGCGAAGGAGATTTTCTGATCCACGCCACACCTTTTTTTTTTTAAGGTGTCTGTGACCAACAGATGCATATCTGTATTCCACGTCATGTTAAATCAATAGGTTAGGGCTTAATGAATTTATTTCAATTGACTGATTTCCTTATATGAACTGTAACTCAGTAAACTCTCTGAAATTGTTGCATGTTGCGTTTATATATTTTTATGTATATATATATATATATATATATATATATATATATATATATATTTAGGAACTCAGTCCAGCTTTCAACTTACTCTTGAATGTTCCCCAATGCTGGAAGGGGGGCCTGAGTGAAAACGTTTGGGAACCCCTACTCTTGACCACCTATTACTGTCAACAAATATATCTCCTTTCATTTAATAAGAGCTTGTGACCGCTTTCCTTTCCCCTCTACCAACTATCAATAAAAGCAGTTAGAAAAAACCAAAGGAGTGGAAATCGCTTACACTCCTTAAAAAAAGAGCAATGCTGCTTACACTGTGTCTTCAATTCAGATAAAACACAGTCGAGAGCAAGCTTTTAGCCCATTCGTCAACACAGCCAATTGAGTTCAGCATGGCTACATACACGTTTGAAACCAACGATGAATCAAGAAAAACAGATGTAAAAATGGAAAGGCTGATGGAACCATAATCTTACCACTGGAGACGAAATTCGACACCCAGGGCAATCACAGATTGGAGGATGTACCTGTAAGATTCCTTTGGACATAAGGGTCTTCAAACTTTTCCCTGAGAGAGAGAGAGAGAGAGAGAGAGAGAGAGAGAGAGAGAGAGAGAGAGAGAGAGAGAGAGAGAGAGAGAGAGAGAGAGAGAGAGAGAGAGAGAGAGAGAGAGAGAGAGAAAGAGAGAGAGAGAGAATGAGCAATAATAAAACAATAGACCATACTCACACAGCACCCACAGAATTCAGCAACTGTAAATCAATTATATGGAATAACCTACATATGGAGGTGATTATAAAATGACTGGATCTTCAGTAGCCTTAAGTATATTTGTATAGTGAATATAAGACTATGTTATCAGAGTCTACACCTGAAATGCACACAAAGGGAAATAGAAAACATTACAACAACAAAAAAATTGTGCAACACTAAACTTGGATTATTGTTGAATGATCATGACTCCAAAACCAACATTTTACATAAACATTACTTTGGAACTGCCAGGTTGTCAAACCAAATTACCTTATTAGTTTCACTGATGAGTTCTAGTTGAGCCCAGTGTGGTAAGATAGGCCTACATATGTATACATGGGCTACTGTCACTGTATCTAAACTCAGATATGAAAATATCCATAATTGGGCTGTCATTTTTTACACCCTCATCCAACAGAACTTGGGGCAACCCGTGTCAGTTCCGTATGAGTAACCTGGGGTGAGTTGGGGTTCAAAAACAATTGCGCGTGCGGCCAGCGCAAAAACACGTAATTATTCAAATAGGCCCATAGTAAGTAAACAGCTATAGCATTTATTATTCTTATTGTAAATAATTTCATAAACATCTTCCGATAACTTTGTTTTGTCTGAGCCACTGTAAAACTTTTCAAACCAAAATACTAGCCAACTAATAACATCAAACATATCATAGACCTACTCATTTGAGTGTCCCGGATTTTAGTTTACTATGTTACGTCTACCCCTGAGTCCAGGTTAATATTTTGGATAGTTGCAACTCAACCATAATCCACCTGAAATAACCAAAAGGGTCAGGAATAGGCTTCAACTTCGAGTAGAGTAGCCTAAAAATAATTATGTTCCCACCCTTCAACATCATTATGTTCTATTGAGACATCAACACCCTTTCGTTTACTATGTTACGTCTAAACCTGAGTCCAGATTAATATTTCGGATAGTTGCAAAAGCAACCATAATCCACCTGAAATAACCAAAAGAGTAAGGAATAGGGTACAACTTCTAGTAGTCTAAAATAATTCCATTCCCTGTCTCCATCATCATTCTGTTCTGTTGAAGTGTCAACACCATTTTAGCCTGCTGTTACACTCAACACTCAACGGAATGATACCCCACAACTTCTATCAACTGTCATATAATGTTTTAACATTACTGAACCCTAAATATGAAAGTTTTTCACCTTAGTCCAGGACTCCTGACGCCCCGTTTTGAGAATGGTCGCTGCCTGTGAAGATACAGCGACGTATGCGCCTTTTCTCATCTCTCTCCTTACGCACTGTAGTTGGTGTATATTACTGAGTATAACCCTTTAACTACGAAACGCAGAACCAACCCATGGAAACAGAATTTCCACTCACCAAAACAATGACAAAATCCTTCACTTAGGTATCATCCTTAAAATAAACATAGCCCTACTGTAAAAAATTACTCTTTATATATAATACTTGCTGTTGCCTACCTTTGTGCCTTATACTTCGTTTCCAATCTTTGGCGGTCTCCCTTCCACTGACAAACTGGAACTCATTCGGGGTGAGCCACTCGCCCCGGTATTTGATTGAGGGTCCCTTACTACCTTGGCACAGTTTGTTAATGTATAGTAAAGCCTTGTTCTCCCCGCATTCCACCTCGATGCATGGTTCCCCGTTGTCAAAAAATGGCTGAAAGTCGGGGATTGAGGAAAACCTCTCCAGCATTAAGTCGTCCGGGTGATGGTGAAGGTGCTGCTGCTGGTGCTGGTGATGCAGCGCCGAGTCGTGGAGCCCCAAATACGCACGGTGATGGGCGAATATATGGTCGTATTGCGGTGGATGCGGGGTCACCACGGGGATAGTAGTGGCATTTAAAGGGGCCGGGTATTCGGACTGGTTGAAGGCAGCCAATGCCATATCGTCCCCATCCAGTCTCTCCTTTTTGATGGCAGGCATGTTACTGGGAGCGAAGCGCTGGTAACAAGTGATTAGCAGCTAGTCTGACCCAACTTGTGTGTCCTCTTTTCAGAGTTGGTCAGTCGCCCCAATCTTGAAGACGCGCCACTTTGTTTTACGCAGGGCTCCGGTGTTGCTCGGTGACAGCGGTCTGTTGAACTTCCCCGAGAGATTGCCATTAACTAGTTTCCAGCTCTTTTAGCCGCGGCACTCTCATCCGCCACACTCACAGCTCCACTCGCATGGGGTTCTCGCAGTGCTCCTGCCTACCACATTTAATCGGACTCGCGCTACTAATACCTGACATGGTTGAGTGGCCAGACCTTAGCCGTGGACATCACATTATGTCATTATCCACAATGATCATTGACACATTCCCATGTGCTCTTCATTTTAGTCTTTTTTAAACAGTATTATTATGGTGTTGGTCTGTCTTATTATAACTGCCTTTATTTATTTATGTTTACAGTTACTGTTGTCCTCCGTGCCTTCCAATGGGCTAATATTACGCGAAACTGTCTACTTGAATAGTAGCCTAAACAACACAGGCTATAACGTCTTTTATGGTTTATTAGCAGTGCTTGACTTGGGCATGAGCTCAACGGATCTGAGTAGGCCTACCGGCACCTCAAATGTTCTACTGCTTGAGCTCCTGTTCCTCTTATAGAATATTATCTCAAAAGTATTGTGGAACTCCTGCACCTAAATATAAACAGTACCGGCACCCAAAGGCAGGATTTTTTTTTTTTAATCGCTCTTATTTTTTTATTTTTTTTGGGGGGGGGGTTAATTTCCTAAGCTATTCTTGAATATGGGTGGTCTCATCAATTATACCATGCCTATTTCAAGTCTATAGTTCTAGAAAATATGAATTTATTTTAGAATATAATCACTATTTTAGTCCAAGTCAAGCACTGTTTATTAGAATATAGGCCTACAGAAAGATGGAAGTGTTTTAAACTATCCTTATTAACCAGCCACAAAACTAGGCTAGGCTATCTGAGGATTGCAAAATCCCCTTTTTTTTCTAAAGATATTTCAAAGTATTTGCGTGGAACAAATTCAGCTGATGGGACTTTTGAAATAGTTGTTTTTAACCCTGTGTAGGCTATATCGTTAAAGTCATGCTGAAGTTCATAGAACCAGACCAAATAAGATTTGCACTCTCCACCGCTTCTCTACTTGGCCCATTTAAAAAAGCGGAGGCTTTGCGAGCCCGAAAACTTGAAAGGGGGTCCGCGACGGACGTCATTATTACGCAACAATATAAACACAGTCACATATTCCTGAAACATATTTTAATATTTCCCTCTTCTATTATTATGATTATATTTTCAGGCGTTATGTACAGCAATAAGAAGTATTGAAACAACAAAAGTCAATATCAGTCGATGGTTAGGCCTACAAAGCTGCGTATAAATTATCTCATTAGGCTACATAATAAAGTCTGACCCTTTGTTAACAAAACAACAATAACAAGATTAACAATAAAAACAATAAAACAACAACAACAAATATATAGCTTATATTCCTTTTAATTCAACAACAGCTTTGAACCTGGATTTGTTCATTATTTTTATTTGGTCTTTGATCATAGTTCTATCCGCTAGGACCTCTGAAGTTTAGAATGATGTGGGAGTTGAAGTTTGTATACTTTTCTATGTTGTGCCCTCTGTGCTTGAAGTCAACCTTTTCCTTGTACTCTTTGTAATCATCCTCCCACTACTGACATGGTCACTCTCCTTTTCAGAAACCTAGTAGGCTATACTAAACATAAAAAAATATATATATATACAAATATCTGCACACCTACATAAGCAAACATGTGCATGACTTCAAATCAAATCAAATCAAATCAAATTTTATTGGCCACATGCGCCGAATACAACAGGTGCAGACATTACAGTGAAATGCTTACTTACAGCCCTTAACCAACAGTGCATTTATTTTTAACAAAAAAGTAAAAATAAAACAACAACAAAAAAAGTGTTGAGAAAAAAGAGCAGAAGTAAAATAAAATAACAGTAGGGAGGCTATATATACAGGGGGGTACCGGTGCAGAGTCAATGTGCGGGGGCACCGGCTAGTTGAGGTAGTTGAAGTAATATGTACATGTGGGTAGAGTTAAAGTGACTATGCATAAATAATTAACAGAGTAGCAGCAGCGTAAAAGGATTGGGTGGGGGGGCAGTGCAAATAGTCCGGGTAGCCATGATTAGCTGTTCAGGAGTCTTATGGCTTGGGGGTAGAAGCACTTGCGTGCACACACACACACAAATACATGCGCTAGCACACACACACACACACACACATGCACACGAACGCACACGCACACACAGACACACACGATGTACTCCTCACACTGACATTATCTGGTCCCTGATTCATTTATGTCAATAAATCAGGGAGAATGAGAGAATGAGCTTGGGAGCTTTCACGACATGGTGGAAGGAGACTATTCTCACCATCACTTTAGCAGTGGCTCAAGTAAGCTTAAGTTAACAGTGGCTTTCAAAATAAATCTGAACCATGGATGACCATGAATACATCCTTTAACTGGTCTTTGAAGACTGTAGATACCAGGCCATGGTTTATAGCAGCATCACAAGATGATGTGGTCATTTCCCCACTGTCTCTATATCTACATAATAATCAGTAACAGGCAGGAGCAAAACCCTGCACAAACAACAGACCCTCAAGACCAATGACGGGAATTCCTGCGGTAGAATGAACAACTGTTTCTAAGAAGGTGACATTTTGATCGGTGTCAATTTCTTTTAATTCTCTCTTTTCGCCCCCGTGGAAATGTGTGCTTTGGTGTCGATGCGTAGGTGCTGGGGCGCACCTATCATCACTGTCAGAATGGGGATACCCCTACCCCCCTCACACCCACTCCCAGCCTGTGACTCATGAGCTCCATAGCAGTGCCTCACCCAGACACCCACGATGGAGGGGTTCCCCCAAACTCTGACTGACATGACAACATCCCTGCAGCCTCCAGAAGTTCTCTGAAGAGGGTTAGCTGTTATTGGGTGTATGGTTTTGCTATTCTCCTACCACCACCACCCTCTTATTCTTTCTCTTTCATCCTATATTGATGTGTGGGCGTAACCTCAGTTTTTATAAATCTCACTTTTGATCTCATGTGCTATGAGGAATACTCTACTTTCACAGAACCCCCGTCCACCTACACACGTACACAAACAATTGCCTCAATATACAATCAGTCAGAAAAATATTGTTTTGCCTGTAGGGCTATTTATTGAACATGATCTTTTCTTAAACGGTTCAGGCTATAAAACGTATTGCTCATATAAGATCTTTCAGTAAACCATTGAACAACAGTGAAATTTATTTTTTAAGTTGTTGTGAAGTCATATTAGTTGTTGTACGGCTTCTGAAGTACAAATACAAATGTAGAGACAATCCTGTGTGTTTCAGCAAGGTATTCAGTAAAGGGCGTTTTGTTTATCCCCTTCACGTCGGCCGTAGAGCGCCCCCCTGACGCTCCCTCCTCGGCGAGGTTGTTGGCAGCCGCCCCGGAGCCGCAGCGCTGCTGGCGGGGGAGAGAGGTAATAAATAACCAGGGGAGAGGAGACCGCCGGGCGGTGCACAGTCTGACCTGACAAATACTCACTGGAAAACCATCAGAGACCGAGAGCCCACCCCTAGTGCTTGGAGCCAGCCTTTCAGACATGAACAGCAAAATATAGCATATAGGCCTATTGGAAAAAGCGGCGTCTCTCCCTCGGTCTTTCTCCCCATAGATATCCAGAGACAAGGCGGGAGAAATTAACTATTTAGAGGAAATGTTTGAATTTCTTGCTTGCACGATTTTAGAAGGCTCGTATCTTATTGCTTGAATATTTTTGGTTGTTTTGTTTTTAAAGCCCCACCAAAATGTGTCCCCCAGACTTCTGCACCAATATCTGCTGGATAGCTCCATGGCCTACCTCAAAATTAGGCAAGGCCATAACAGTACTGGTTGATTACTTTTCAAATCCAATGTATTTTCCACGTTGATTCCACGTCACAATACCTTGACAAATTATGTTGAAACCATATTGATTCAATCAGTGTGTGCCCAGTAGGAAGTGTCCACACAAGGTAAACTATTAGTGCAAAAATAATTATAATTATACTGAACAAAAAATATAAATGCAATATGCAACAATTTCAACGATTTTACTGAGTTACAGTTCATATAAGGAAATCAGTCAATTGAAATAAATTCATTAGGCCCAATCTACAGATTTCACATGACTGGGAAGGGGTGCAGCCATGGGTGGGCCTGGGAGGGCATAGGCATACCCACTTGGGAGTCAGACCCACCCGCTGTGGAGCCAGGCCCAGTCAATCAGAATACGTTTTTCCCCACAAAAGAGATTTATTACAGACAGAAATATTCCTCAGTTTCATCAGCTGTCCGGGTGACTGGTCTCAGACAATCCCGCAGGTGAAGAAGCCGGATGTGGAGGTCCTGGACTGGCGTGGTTACAAGTGGTCTGCAGTTGTGAGGCCTGTTGGACGTACTGACAAATTCTCTAAAATGACGTTGGAGGCGGCTTATGGTAGAGAAATGAACATTAAATTATCTGGCAACAGCTCTGGTGGACATTCCTGCAGTCAGCATGTCAATTGCACACCCCCTCAAAACTTGAGACATCTGTGGCATTGTGTTTTGTGACAAAACTGCACATTTTAGAGTGGCCTTTTATTGTCCCCAACCCAAGGTGCACCTGTGTAATGATCATGCTGTTTAATCAGCTTCTTGATATGCCACACCAGTCAGGTGGATGGATTATCTTGGCAAAGGAGAAATGCTCACTAACAGGGATGTAAACAAATTTCAGCAAAACATTTGAGAAAAATAAGCTTTTTGTGCTTATGGAACATTTCTGGGATATTTTATTTCAGCTCATGAAACATGGGACCAACACTTTACATGTTGCGTTTATATTTTTGTTCAGTATATTTCTCATGTGAAAAAATGTGACAGC